TGTGATCAGAGAAGAAGTATGGTATGATTGATTTTGTTGAACTTGCTGACTCTTGCTTTACGGCCAGCATGCTGTCTATTCTAAAGAAAGTTCCAGGGACTGGTGAGAAGGTTTGTTTTGCAACTGTAGGATGAAAAGGTCTGTAGATATCTGTTAGGTACATTTGGTCTATAGTGTCAGTTAACTCTGTTGTTTCCTTGCTAATTTTCTGTCAGGTTGATCTGTCCATTGCTGAAAGTGGGATGTTGAAGTCCCCCATTACTATTGCATTGGGGTCTATGTCTCCCTTTAGATTCACTAACCTTTCTTTTAAATAACCAGATGCCCTGGAATTGTGTGCATATATGTTATTATTGTCACATCTTCCTGTTGAATTGATCCATAATGTCCTTCTTTGTCTCTTTTAACATTTTTTTTTGTGTTACAAACTATTTTTTCCTGAATTTAGGATGGCTATTCCAGCTCTTTTTTGGTTTTCATTAACATGGAGTATCTTTTTCCATACTTTCACTCTGTCTGCATGGATCTTTCATGATGAGATGTGTTTTTTGTTGGCAGCAAATAGATTGTTCTTGTTTTTTAATCCATTTGGCCATTCTCTTTCTTTTAACTGGAGAGTTGACGCCATTTACACTCAAGGTGACTATTGATAAGTAATTACTTGGCTCTGCTATTTTTCCATAGATATTCCTATTGTTTACTTTGGATTTCCTTTATTACTTTTACTGGAAGATTTTCTGATTTTACGATCTTTCACACTGTTGGCCACGTTTCTGTGTTTCTGTGTGTAGCATAGCCTTGGGCATCTTTATATAAGGCTGGAGTAGTAGTGACAAATTCTTTCGGTATATGCTTGTTATACAAAGTCTTTATTTTCATTCATTCATAAATGAGAGCTTTGCAGGGTACTGTATTCTGGGGTTGACAGCTTTTTCCATTAAGCTTTGGATTATGTATTGCTATTCTCTCCTAGCCTGTAGGGTTTCTGATGAGAAGTCATCTGTGAGTCTTATTGGAAATCTTCTGAAAGGAATTTGGTATTTCTGTCATGTACATTTTAGAATATTTTCTTTATGCTTTACTTTTGAAAGTTTGACTATAGTATTTCGTGGTGAATATCTTTTCTGGTCATATCTATTAGGAGTTCTGTGTGTTTCCTCTAATTGTACATCCATTTCTTTCTCCAAATTAGGGAAATTTTCTGTAATTATTTCACTAAATATACTTTCTAATCCATTATATCTTTCCACTCCTAAGACTCATATGTTGTGTCGTTTGATAGTTTCCCATAAATCTTCAACCCCATTTTTAAGTTTTCTTATTTTTTCTTCCTTTTCTTGGTCTGATTGTAAAATTTGCAGAGATTTGTCTTCTAACTCAGATATTCTTTCTTCTGCCTCATGGAGTATATTGTTAAGGCTTTCCACTGCATTTTTTATTTGATATTGAATTCAATTCTTCCTTTCTAATGTTTCCTTTTGATTTCTCCTTAAAATCTCAATTTCCTAGAAACAATTTTCATTCATGTCATATAGGGATTTAATTTGTGGATTTGCTTCTGATTTCTTTTTTTTACATCTATTTTTTATTGAATGGTGGAGTTACATAGAGATAGAGCCAAAGGCAGAGGCAGAGGCAGAGGCAGAAAGAGAGAGAGAAGTCTTCTACCAGCTGGTTCACTCCCCAAATTGCTGATATGGCTGGGGCTGGGCCAATGGGTGCAGGAGCCCATGGCCTTGGGCCATCTTCTACTGCTATCCCAGGCCATAACAGAGAGCTGGATCAGAAGTGGAGCATCTGGCTATTGAACTGGCACTCATATGGGATGCCAGCGCTGCAGTCAGTGTCTTTACCCACTACACCACAGCACTGGCCCCTCTGATTACTTATGAGTAATCCTATGATGAATTTTTTGAGTTCCATTTCCAGCATTTCGTCTGTCTCTTCATCTTTACATTCCAGTATTGAATTATTGTGTTCTTTTGGGGGCATTCTGTTGTCTTACTTATTCTTGTTTCTTGAATCGCTGCATTTATTTTTAGGCTTTTGTGAAGTTACTTGTTTTTTTTTTTTTAAGTTTTTGACAGGCAGAGTGGACAGTGAGAGAGAGAGACACAGAGAAAAGTCTTCCTTTGCCCTTGGTTCACCCTCCAATGGCTGCTGCGTCTGGTGCACCACGGCCAGTGCACAGCGCTGATCTGAATCCAGGAGCCAGGTGCTTCTCCCGGTCTCCCATTTGGGTGCAGGGCCCAAGGACTTGGGCCATCCTCCTCTGCACTCCCGGGCCATAGCGAGAGCTGGCCTGGAAGAGGGGCAACCGGGACAGAATCTGGCGCCCTGACCAGGACTAGAACCCGATGTGCCAGCGCCGCAAGGTGGAGGATTAGCCTAGTGAGCCGCGGCACCCGTCAACTTGTTGTTTTTCTTTTTCCTTTGATTGCTTTTATGTTTGGACTATTCCTCTGTAAATTAGTGGAGTGTCTGCTCTTTCAGTGAATACCGAAAACTGTGTGCTGTATGTGGCCAGTGAGCTCTGTTCCCTGCTCCAGAGTGAGGGGAGTGACACCTACATTGGGCATGGTATATCTCCTCTTTTTTTTTTTTTTTCCAGAGGGAAGGTTTTGATCAGCTCTTTTTGTGTAGCCTCATGCTTACCTCTTATTCTCCAAGGAGACCTGGGTGCTAGTCCCAGTGAGTGCAATTCATCACTGCCGCCACAAGAACCACGTGAAGGAACTGTGCAGTCTTCCGTGTGAGCACTGATCACTTATCAATGACCCACCTCAGGCAATCAGGGAGCCCTGAGCATTTGGAGCCAACCAGTGACTATTCAGAGATCCAGCCACACCCTGTACCCTCTCGTGCAGCAATGTTTCCACTGTTCCAGCACACAAGGCTCCCACAGTCTTGTATTACCAAAGATCCACTCTGCCCTTCCAGACCTTCCTGACCATAGATTGGTGGAGATGCTGCTGGAACTAGCTGCCTGTGTGTACTCCACCCAGGCAGTCTAAGCCCTAGAGCCTGTGATGTGCTCGGAGTTTGGAAGAACCTCACAGTCCTTCTTGGGCACCCAATTCCCTGTTAGTCCTCCCAGCCAGACTCAGATGTCTCCTCTCTGCTGGTTACTGGACACACAGACACTAGCTGGAACAGCTGTTACAGATGTCCAAAATGATCCCTGCCCTCTCAACTAGTTGCAGGGTACTGTTGTTGGGGCATCAGAGAAAGAGAAATGTGCACCTTTCCCCCCTCTAGTTGACAGGCACACTGTCCCCCACAGGGCTCCAGGCTAGACTCATGCCATGCTGTCCCTGCAGCTTTATCACCAGTGGCTTGGGCTGCTATAGTCTAGTCTCACCTCACTGTCAAAAGCTGGTGCCGAGGCTCTTGGCTGCTGGGGTCTTGGGTCGTGTCCATGCTTGTGCATCCATGCCCTCCATGTTGATACACAGTATCCCTGTTTCTTCCAAAGAGTTGTCACTGCAGTTTTCTCTCTAGCTCATCCCTGAGATTGCACACTTTCCACTATTTTTAGCTATGTTTCTCTGGACTAGAGCAGTAAACTCCCTCCCCATTCTGCCATCTTGGAATCTCTACCCTTCTCTTCACATATAGCTTTTTTTTTTTAATTTTTTTTTTTGACAGGCAGAGTGGACAGTGAGAGAGAGAGAGACAGAGAGAAAGGTCTTCCTTTGCCGTTGGTTCACCCTCCAATGGCCGCCGTGGCCAGCGCGCTGCAGCCGGCGCACCGCGCTGATCCGATGGCAGGAGCCAGGTACTTATCCTGGTCTCCTATGGGGTGCAGGGCCATCCTCCACTGCACTTCCCTGGCCACAGCAGAGAGCTGACCTGGAAGAGGGGCAACCGGGACAGAATCCGGTGCCCCGACCGGGACTAGAACCCGGTGTGCCGGCGCCGCAAGGCGGAGGATTAGCCTAGTGAGCCGCGGCACCGGCCACATATAGCTTTTTAAAGTTATCCTATGAAGATTATTATTGCCTCTGAATTTCTTAATATACACTTATTTTACATCAGATTTTCAAGGTACTAAAATGCAATGGTAGAAAACATAATGCAGTGGGGAAAAAACATGGATTCTCAAGTGATACTGTAGTTCTAGGTTTGAATCTCATTTTCATTATTTCCTAACTTTGTGACCTTAGTGGGCTATTTCACCTCTCGCAGCCTCAATTTGCTTTCAAATAAAAAGTGGGTATTATTAGGATTTTTTTCTAGTTCACAGATTAAATGAAATAAAGTTTTTGTAGCTCACAGATTATATGAAATACAGTATGTAAAATACTTAGCATTGTCCCGATACATTGTTAAAATTCATTAAACATTTGTTGCTATTATTTTGAATGTATATGCTAAATTGGAAAAAAAGGTTACCCCTATATGGTGGGCTTGTGAAGGATTCTGTGGCCTTTTTTATTTCCCCTTGAAATTGGATGATTCACTATTTCAAGTCCCACAAGTCCCTTTCCAAAACTCCATATTCAAAGAACACCTTGAATAAATGAATATCTGTTTGATGCATTAATGAATGAATACAGCCTTGGTAGCTTCATGTATCAGAATGGCCTATGGTAGCAACCAACTATAAATCTAGTTGAAAATCACAAAAGTTTATGTTACCCATGTTACATGTCCATTGCACATATGCAGAAGGGGATTTTTCAAAGTATTGTTGCCACTTAGAGTCATTATGGCATTAGCCCTCATACCATACATTGATAATCACCATGCCAGAAGAAATGAGCTATTGGAGAGATTCTTGATAGTAAGTAAGTGCTGTAGCTTTGGAGCAACCTACATCATTTCCACTCTGAAATTATTTCCAGAATAAATCCCATGGCCTCATTCAATTAAAAGTGAGCAAGGAGGAGAAAGCTTACTATTTGCCTGGAGAAGAGAAGGATCAGAAATATTTGAAGAATAGTATTATTTACCATAGCATCTTATCACTGACTAATGCATCTCCTTTCTTTCTTTAGATTCTGAGCACACTGACTATATTGACCAGCCATGTTTCTGGTATATACTACTGCATAGCTGTAAACAAGGTTGGCATTGATGAAAGAAGTATTCAGTTCTATGTCTCAGGTAAGTTCTGACCTTGACATGATAAAGCAGACAGAGGGGGTCTTGTATTCGAGATTTGTATACACTCTGGAATACTACACAGCATTTAAAAAGATGAAATCCTGTGGTTTGCAACAAAATGGATGCAACGGGAAACTACAATACTTAGTGAAACAAGCCAGTCTGCAAAAGACAAATACTATATATTTTCCCCGATCTGTGGTAACTGATAGAGTACCTGAAAGGTAATCTATAGGAGTGAAATTGACATTTTGAGATGTGGTGATTTTTAACAGCCCTTGTCTCAACTGTTGAGGAACAGTGTTTTTTTCTTCATACTATTTGTTGGACTCTTTACTTAGTGCAGGGTTAATCTTATGAGTGTAAAATTAACTGAAAATAGATCTTTGTAAAAATTAAGAATGGAAATAGGAGAGGGAGAGAAAGAAGGGTAGGAGCATGGGTGGGAGGGAAGGTAGGGTGGAGAGTGCCACTATGTTCCCTAATCTGTATATAGGAAATGCAGGAAATGTGCATACCTTAAATAAGATTATAAAAGGAGAAAATGTCCATATCCTCAGTTATCCAAACTGTAGGCCTGCAAACATGTCTACGAATCTGTTATTAAAAGTTCATTTTAATTTAGGGTGAAGGCTGAATTTTGCTGCAATGCAAATACCCTAGTAAGGGTAATACCTTAATTCAAAATTACCCATTAGCACAGACCTTAGCTTGAATCTTGTTGTAATAACTTCCATTTGGATTTTAGAGTGATTTATAGTTTGCCTGATTCTCTCACACCATGTTCTGATTTGCATCTTTTAAATATTAATATATAATTTTTTTTTCTTTTTGACAGGCAGAGTGCACAGTGAGAGAGAGACAGAGAGAAAGGTCTTCCTTTTGCCATTGGTTCACCCTCCAATGGCTGCCGCGGCCGGCGCACTGCAGCCGGCGCACCGCTCTGATCCGATGGCAGGAGCCAGGTACTTCTCCTGGTCTCCCATGGGGTGCAGGGCCCAAGCACTTGGGCCATCCTCCACTGCACTTCCCTGGCCACAGCAGAGAGCTGGCCTGGAAGAGGGGTAACCGGGACAGAATCCGGCGCCCCGACCAGGACTAGAACCCGGTGTGCTGGCACCACTAGGCGGAGGATTAGCCTAGTGAGCTGCGGTGCCGGCCTAATATATAAATTATAACCAGTAATCTTAGATGAGAGATGATGAGAATCAATGTTTAGGAATTAATTTCTAAAATGGTATAGAAATTAGTAATTTATTGTCATTGTTAGACATATTTTCCCTACATTTTAAACAATAACATTTTGATTATTCCTTAAAACTGGAGCATTAAAATTGGTTGTAAAACTTTTAAATGCTTGACACTTACATAAAACATTCCTTCAATAACACTGTGACTCCATTCCTTTCATGTCACCTCTAGGTTGTAACATTCTCAAAGTTTCTACACAGAAGGTTTTCTGAAAGTTTAAATGAATTACTTTAAATGATTGCTTCTTAGCTACATGTGTACTTATCTCTTCAAATGATTCTTGTAAGTTTGTTGCCCTGAGTACTCTGAGCCGTCTGTGGCGCTGGCACAAGGGTTCTAGTCCCGGTTGGGGTGCCGGATTCTGTCCCGGTTGCTCCTCTTCCAATCCAGCTCTCTGCTGTGGCCCAGAAGTGCAGTGGTGGATGGCCCAAGTCCTTGGACCCTGCACCCACATGGGAGACCAGGAGAAGCACCTGGCTCCTACCTTCGGATCAGCATCGTGCGCCGGCCGCAGCGGCCATTGAGGGGTGAACCAACAGAAAAGGAAGACCTTTCTCTGTCTCTCTCACTGTCCACTCTGCCTGTCAAAAATAAAATTAAAAAAATTGTGACTTTCTTTCTAGGCTAAAATCCACAATGGCCACTGAAGTAGTCCCAAGTCAGAGGTACCCCTTTAATCAAGATATTTCTACACATTAGAAACTACCTTTCTGTGGATTGACATTTTCTGTGTGAACCTTTTATTTTTATTTGTTCTACCAAAGCATTCTGAGATGTTCATCTTGATGAAGACTACATGAGTGAGTTCTTCCCTGAGGGATGTACATGATGTCATTCAGAAGACTGATAATTTTGGATCCAGCTTTTCTTTTTTTCAGAGATTTATTTATTTATTTGAAGTTCAGAGTTACAGAGAGAGAGGTGAAGCAGAGAGGCAGAGAGAGGTCGTCCATGATCTGTTTCACTCCCCAGATGGCCGCAATAAACATCTCTTTTCTATGGAAAGAGAGTACTAGAAGACAGAAGGCATTATACCTCACAGTGTGCCTAGGATCCAAAAATGGACAGTAGTACATTCCTATTCCTGCACATAAGCATGCATCACTCCCAGTTTAGGAAAGCTAGGGATGAGAATTCATTCTAAAGAGCATAGAATAACCTCTTCATATCCCTTTGGTCACACTCTTCCCCCGCTACCCACACTTGTATACCTATCCTGATTTCCAAGAAGTGCTATTCCATGTCTTGCCCTTTATCATGAGAGATAAACCGAGAGGTACAGAGAGGAATAAACAGATTTGCAGGTACTTAGAAATACTGTGTATTGAACCCTTGTTTGTCAAAGGCAAAAGGACCCAAATGCCATAGGTAGAAAAGTGCTCCTTCCCCAAAGTAGAGAATAATGGCCAAACAATGCATCCTGTTCTCCAAATTCATCACTAAATCACTAATCATGCACCCAATATTTTGAATTTAGTTGTGGTTTCATATCTCTAATTTTGGCTTCCTTTCATCTCTGTTCTCCATGGTAACAGGATGATAATTCCAGATACTTGTCAAGCGCTCTTGCATAGACTTAGAAATTGTTATGTGCCCCAATCAGCTTTATTTTCCCTGAGCTGCTCTGAGAAAAAAGATGGAAGGACTTTGTTTATGCATCATCCATCTTTATTGTCAATGAACGCTCCATCTCATTTCTGTGGCATAAACAGTGGTACTTGTCCATAGGAAAACTCTGGTCCAAGCCAAAAGATGAATTATGGATGAGAAATCAGGAATTAAGAATAAAATATTGGCTTTATTGATAAATCAGATTTTGTGACTTTGTTAAATTATTTTCTTCCTGTAGAACTCAGTTTTCCCATCTAAATTATGAGGAACAAGACACTAGAGATAAACTAATCCAATTGTAGTTATTTAATTACATTGTGAAAGGCTTTGAAATGAACAGCTAGGACACGAGGAGAAGAGAGGGAGATGGAAAGTTTGGTATGGGTGGAAGATGAGGACTGAGAAGATCTCTATCAGACCTTAACAGAGATTCTTTCTTTTGTTACTTTTTAATTTTATGGATTTTTCAATTTATATAAATATTTTTAACAGACATCCATATGTATATTCCTGACATGTTTACAGAATATTGGAAAATGGGTCTATGTTGTTTTAGATCACCATACTCCTCTCTTTTGCCCATTTTGACCCAAAGATTGTCTTGACAGCTCCAGAAGTTTAAATCACAAGTGATAGAAGATGAAATTAAGACCAATTGGGCCGGCGCCGTGGCACACTTGGTTAATCCTCCGCCTACGGCACCATCATCCCATATTGGTGCCTGGTTCTAATCCCGGCTGTTCCTCTTCCAGTCCAGCTGTCTGCTGTGGCCCGGGAGGACAGTGGAGGATGGCTCAAGTGAACCAACAGAAGGAAGACCTTTCTGTCTGTCTGTCTCTCTCTCACTATCTATAACTCTACCTGTCAAATAAAACAAACAAACAAAAACTGAAATTAAGACCAATTAATTTTATTGGAAATGCAGAATGAGTCAGACAAAACTTTCTTTCTTTGACATAATCTAAGATTTCATCACGCCCTAATTCTAAGTGGCAGTCTTAGCTGACAATAAGTTCAGATGAAAATGTGATGGATATTTTCACAATAATTTTGTGGTTTCAGGGAAAAGTTTACTATACGCACAGGAGCATCTCTGGGATAAGGCATCCTCACCCTCATTCCAGCCAGTCCAGAACTCAGCCTTTGTCCCCATGTTGCCCACAGAAATGGTTCAAACTTACTGCCTTTTCTAATTCAATTCTCTCAGCCTTAGTGGAATTAAAGGAAAGGGAACTAATGAAGACATTCCCCCCTCTGATGATACTCAGAAATTATTTTGTAGAATGATTTGATACTCCTGAAAAGCTGATGTGGAAGCAATACTGAATAAAATCCAGTTAAAATATTATTCCCACTAAACAAAAATGCAGGTCTTAAAGGTGAGGTGAGAGGAAGAAAAGACAGAATTTAACATAATTTCTAAGTGACAGCAGCACACCCACTCACAGGAGGTGTCACAAACAGGCTTAGCAAGGAAAATTTATGAAGATTGTCATTGCAAGCACAATGGCACAATGTTCCTGCCATCTCTTTTCTCTACTCCTATTGGTAGCACAGCCTGGTATCATCGAAGCACTGCTACAAACCTTTCTCTTCAGCTCTTGAGCTGAATCCCCAACATAGCAGGGAATTTATTGTTTCAAACTGTTTCTCAGCATGAGCAGAATAGAACCTGACCAAGTGGTATATAGAAAAAAAATGTAAAGGGACACATATGCAAAGCTTCTCTGTCAGAGAATATGCCAAGAGAAGCGGTAGAATGAACCAGATTAGAAGCCTTTGTATTCTCGGTTGTTCAGAACATAGACAAGAAAACCATAAATACACTGTATCTGAGCCTAACAGTGGGAGGTGGCACATTGAATCTGTCAGCTTTTCCAGATATAATTAAATTGAGCATTCCAAACAGGTACTCAAACACACTGGAAATAAGACTAATATGAACTCAGTATAGTCTCCAAACCCTTCTTTACCCCAAAGCTAAGTTCTAATATCATCACTGGGACTTCTCACAAGTCCAAATGGAGTCTCAGGAGTTTTCCGATTTTCAAGCAGAATAGTGGTTTTTAAATGGCTTCACTTCTGCTCTGTCGCTCCCCATCTTCGTGGAGGAACGACACTGGACCCTGCGCTGTTCT